CGAATGTTATTGTATGGTATGATGAGCAAAAGTGTTTATATAGCACATCACAGTTATCATCACCAATATTAATTCATAGTCCGAATGGTCAAAGTCGACTGAATATCAAATCATTGGCTAATCAATGGTCAACGAATGATATTCAAAATTATATTGCTGGTGAAGCAGAAGAATATCCATATGATGCGGTGCGCATTCTTGAAACACTTTTAAAGAAATCACTTCAAGGTCAAATTCAAGTAGTCAATAACAATTGTTATTTCTTGGACGAGGTAGCGAAACCTGTGGGTGGTGGACTTTATGAACGATTAGGTTTTGTTCAATCACTGAATCTTTCATCGCGTCGTATAACACTTAGCATTCAAACGAAATTAACAACATTCTATCCTGAAATGTCTCTTCTGGACTTCGTTCATACACATATTGGTGGTAAACGAATACCAAGTGAATATGAATGCAAAAAATTAAGCCGAATATTAAAAAATTGTTCGATTGTTACACAGCAATCAAATTGGAAACAAGTTTTTGAAATCGATCAATTTGATAAGCGCCGACCAAATGAAATCACAATTGAATCTGGTGCAACATTAATCGAATATTTCAAAAATGAAAAAAATATTCAACTAAAGCAAACAAATTATCCATGTGTTCAAGTGTATCTTCCGAATGAATATGACAAACCCTGTCATTTACCTTTGGAAGTTTGTCGTATTCAACCGTGGCAAGTCTATGATAAACCAGTAAGTAGAGAGAACGAATTCTCAATGTAGAAATCATGAGAATAATAGCGGATGAAAATTTTTTCTACACTTCGCACATTCATTCAAGAACTTTCATGTTTTTTTTATAGTTATCGAAAGCACAGGAAGCTCAACAACCACGAAAATATATTCCAAAACCGTATGAACGGTATAATGCCATTATGAATATGCTGCGAAAATGCGATTACAATTCGCGATCAAATCGACTCTGTCGCGAAGTTGGTTTCAAGATTGACGATAATCAAATGCTCAGTTTAAATGCTCGAGTTTTGACTCAACCACAGATTGAAACAGGTCCTAATTCAAGAGCAAATGTTCGTATTGGTCGTATTCCTCTTGATGGACATTTATTTACACCGAAACCATTGCTAACTTTGGCTATTACATACTTCGGCAATGATATTGAACGAGAAAAAGATTTAATGAGNCTCTGTCGCGAAGTTGGTTTCCAGATTGACGATAATCAAATGCTCAGTTTAAATGCTCGAGTTTTGACTCAACCACAGATTGAAACAGGTCCTAATTCAAGAGCAAATGTTCGTATTGGTCGTATTCCTCTTGATGGACATTTATTTACACCGAAACCATTGCTAACTTTGGCTATTACATACTTCGGCAATGATATTGAACGAGAAAAAGATTTAATGAGAGCATTTACTGACACATTATTACAGGTAAGTCTCTTTCACCGAGTTGATCAATACAAATCAATTGATTGAATTCTTTTAGGTAATGAAGAATCATCATGTAAATGTGAACTATCAAAAACATACTGTATCTCCCACCATTGATCACATAACTGCTTATTTTCATTCGATGAATGAAAGAAAATGTCAATTTGTTCTTTGCGTCATGAGTGGAAGGTCAGAAGAGGATCTTAAACAACTTAAAGCTGACATTAAAGATTGTGGAACAATTAAATATGGTAAGAAGCTTTAATCGATTAAAAAAATATCATTACGAACGAATCTATATTTAGGTATTATGACTCAATGTGCTTTACTTTCAAAAATTGCAAATAATCGTTCATTAACCGGTTATTGTGAAAATTTAATTCGAAAAATCAATTTCAAAAATTCTGGAATTAATACAAAAGTTAATTTAAATCAAGCACTAAAAAACAAAAAATCCACAACTAATTCTTATATGTTTTTCGGCGCAGATGTAATTCATCCAACAAATGTAACCCGTCAACATCCATCTATTGCAGGTAGATTAATAAATTGATAATCAATAAAAGAAATGCAATTCTATGTTTTGTTTAGCTGTGGTAGGTTCATGTGATTCATTATGTTCAACAACAGCTGTACGTGTTTGTCAACAGTTTCCCAAAGAAGGAAAATGTTCGATTGAAACGATTATTGGCATGACGGAAATGGTCGAGGAGTTGTTAGATAATTATTGTCAAGTGAATAAAATCTTACCAAATAAAATTGTTTTCTATCGAGATGGTAAAAAATTAAAGTTTGCTTTAAGTGAATTTATAAAAGTTTATTCTTTCAGGAGTTGACGATGGTCAATTCGGTAAAGTTATTGCTCATGAAATTCCTGCCATTATTAAAGCTTTTAATCGTAAGTTTAATTATCTTTATGTTTATATTTAATAATAGCTATATTATAGGCATTTATGGTGATCAAGCCAATCATCCAAAATTAACTTTTATTGTGGTAAAAAAACGTCATAATACACGATTTTTTAATCGAAATCCATCGACCAAGGATGTGTATAATATGNCTCTGTCGCGAAGTTGGTTTCAAGATTGACGATAATCAAATGCTCAGTTTAAATGCTCGAGTTTTGACTCAACCACAGATTGAAACAGGTCCTAATTCAAGAGCAAATGTTCGTATTGGTCGTATTCCTCTTGATGGACATTTATTTACACCGAAACCATTGCTAACTTTGGCTATTACATACTTCGGCAATGATATTGAACGAGAAAAAGATTTAATGAGGGCATTTACTGACACATTATTACAGGTAAGCCTCTTTCATCGAGTTGATCAATACAAATCAATTGATTGAATTCTTTTAGGTGATGAAGAATTATCATGTAAATGTGAACTATCAAAAACACACTGTATCGCCCACGATTGATCAAATAACTGCTTATTTTCATTCGATGAATGAAAGAAAATGCCAATTTGTTCTTTGCGTCATGAGTGGAAGATCAGAAGAGGATCTTAAACAACTTAAAGCTGACATTAAAGATTGTGGAACAATTAAATATGGTAAGAAGCTTTAATCGATTAAAAAAATATAATTACGGACGAATCTATATTTAGGTATCATGACCCAATGTGCTTTACTTTCAAAAATTGCAAATAATCGTTCATTAACCGGTTATTGTGAAAATTTAATTCGAAAAATCAATTTTAAAAATTCTGGAATTAATACAAAAGTTAATTTAAATCAAGCATTAAAAAACAAAAAATCCACAACTGATTCTTATATGTTTTTCGGCGCAGATGTTATTCATCCAACAAATGTAACCCGTCAACATCCGTCTATTGCAGGTAGATTAATAAATTGATAATCAATAAAAGAAATGCAATTTTGTTTTTTGTTTAGTTGTGGTTGGTTCATGTGATTCATTATGTTCAACAACAGCTGTACGTGTTTGTCAACAGTTTCCAAAAGAAGGAAAATGTTCGATTGAAACGATTATCGGCATGACGGATATGGTCGAGGAGTTGTTAGATAATTATTGTCAAGTGAATAAAATCTTACCAAATAAAATTGTTTTCTATCGAGATGGTAAATAATTAAAATTTGCCTTTAGTGAATTTATAAAAATTTATTCTTTCAGGAGTTGATGATGGTCAATTCGGTAAAGTTATTGCTCATGAAATTCCTGCCATTATTGAAGCTTTTAATCGTAAGTTTAATTATCTTTATGTTTATATTTAATAATAGCTGTATTATAGGCATTTATGGTGATCAAGCCAATCATCCAAAATTAACTTTTATTGTGGTAAAAAAACGTCATAATACACGATTTTTTAATCGAAATCCATCGACCAAGGATGTGTATAATATGAGTATTGGGACAGTCATTGATACAACTATCGTGCATCCGTATCAAAATAACTTTTATCTTAACTCTCATAATGCATTCCAAGGTGTTAATCATCCATCACTTTATCATGTATTATTGGATGAAATAGGTTTTACTGCAGATGAATTACCATTATTAACGTATCATTTATGTTTTACGGATCCTCGATCATCAGCTGCTGAAGCTATTCCATCGGTCGTACATCAAGCCGATATAGCAGCGTTGAAAGCACGAGATTTATTTTATGATGATGAACGGTAAGATAAGAAGAAAAAAACATTTTTTTTGAATGTAAATCGTTTTTCTCCGTTTTTTTGTAGCTCATCAGCAACAAGTGTTGGTGGACGAAGTCAACCGTTACGAGATCCACAACTAAGTGATTTAGATTTTAAAATTCTTGAGGTACATGAAAATCTTAAAAATCGACCAGTATTTGGCTAAGACAGTCTCCTCCAACTTGATATATCAATTGAAATGTGAGAATTCACATTGCTAAAGGACTCATCCGTAGTATTCGTCTTTGAATACATTATCATTTATTCATTTTTATGCTTCACTTATATATTTTTTTCTTTATCATAATCAAGAATTGTACTCAGAACTTTTTCACTTATTTTATTCTTTATCAAAATAAATTTTCACTATAATGCACTGAACATTTTCCTTTTTATTCATTATTTATGCTAAACATTATCCAATGAGTACGCGCATTTGATTACGGAAAATATTTTAAAGAGCAAACATTTCCGATGAAAGGATCCTTTTTGTATATATTTTTCTTTATATTGAACAGAAAAACAAAACTCCGGAGAGAAACATACCGCAACATCATGTGAAATGAGTCTAACTTTAATGCGACATTACTGAAGCTCTTCGTTCTGTTTTTTGTTTTGTTTTTCATTGACTAAGTATTCTATTTTTATACAAGTTGAATCATCAAACTCATGAATACTAGTGACATTAACAAAAAAAATTTAATATTATTTGAATCAAATATGTTCCAGAAAATATTCGCTTTATAAAGCGACAATTGAATTTATAGATAAGAAAAAAGACAATGATAGATAAAAACAAATTTTCATTTGATTGGTCAATATTCTAACTTTCAATCTTGAGGGTGTGGGTGTGTGGATGAGTGTGTGGTTGTGGGTGGATGTGGGTGTGGTGGTGCGGGTGTGGGAGTGGTGGTGTGGGTGTGTGGGTCTGTGTCTTGGTGTGAGCTTCAAGTGTATCAATAATTTATACACACACCCACACTCACATCCACACTCACATCCACATCCACACCCACGCTCACACCCACCCACATCCCACACCCTTCTTGACATGCTTGCTTAATTAATTTTTCAATTTCTTTTAACGGATAATTTGATTTTAATAACATGTGTCTTAATTTATTTAAATCTTCTTGTTGATCTTTATTGTCTTGAATTGTTTCTAAAATCCCTGTAGTCATATCTTTAACGATGTTATTTTTGATGGATTTTCCCTGACTTGATTCATAGTTTAATAACCTATCTGTAGCTGTGCCTTTTCGGAACCATCTAATTTTAAGTATTGTTTCATTATTTATTATTGTTTTTGTTAACATTGTATCAAGATAATTTATTTGATCAATTTGTTCGAATTCTGAGGTAAATTGAATTGTTCCACGTATTTTATTTAAATCATATACATATTTATCCAATCGTGGTTTATTCATTTTTGTAATGATTAGAATGTCATCAATATATCTCCATATTTTGTTTGGAATGTTTACTTCATGTAAATATTGTTTTTGATATTCATCCATGTATATGTCGGCTAATGTTGATGATAATGTATTACCCATAGGTAAACCTGTGTTTTGTTTGTAAAATTTATCATTAAATTGAAAATAACTGTTCTTTAACGCTAAAATTAGCAGTTCTTTAATATCAGTTTTGGTAAATGGTAGATTGTCCAATTTCTTAGATTCATCAAGCCGTTTTAATGTAATATCGATGGCTTTGCTAACTGGTATCTTTGTATATATATCTTGAATATCAAGACTTGCTAAATGTTCGTCTTGATTTAATTTAACATCTGCAGTAAGGACAGGGGCGCATAAGAAGCCGATTTGGCCCATATAATATTTTCAGTCAATTTATTGCCCATCCTATGTGGAAAAATGTGGTGATTCTTTTGGCAATAAATTGAAGTCAAACTGTAAGGATTATAAGCTATTTTGAGGGAGAATACCTGCAAAAAAGTATTGAAGTTTCATTGGGCTCATAGTTGTCTGGTATTAGCTCAAAATATACGACTTTTAGGCAATATTTCAAGCTCAATCTATATTGGTTAGAAAGAGCGTTTAATACTGCATCGTTTCATGTAAGAACTAATAATTTTTCATTAAAAATTTAATCATGGAAAATACTGTTCTTTCACAGGGGTATGCTTCGGTACCTCACATCCGAACAATAATTAGAACTGTTTGACATGCTTTTACGTGTAAGCCAAGCCTTTTTATATGCCATTTGATAGAGCGAAGAAAGAGCTACAAACTGATGCATAATTTATTTGATTGCAATATGGGCCACTATATCGAAAGTGTGTATGAATTGTTTGGGAGCACAAAAAGTGCACTTTTCTGCTCATTATTGAGCGAATTTGATAAGAATAATTCAGCTTTTGATAGAAGAGAATGGTATATTTGAAATCAGCATAAAAAACTGAGTCGATCCATATAGTTTTGAAAATTTTCTGAGTACTTTTATTTTCGTCCAAAAATTCAGCTGGGGTCCCCCTCAGGGTTAGGTCAAAAAATGAAATCGATTGAAACGCCATTCGGACTGTGAAAAACAAGTTCTGCAGTTTTTAAAAGTTAAGAAAATTAAAAAACACAAATGACTAATAAATAAAAACACTGTTTTAATGGATTTCATTTTTTGACCTAACCCTGAGGGGGACTCCAGTTGAAGTTTTGGACGAAAATAAAAGTACTCAGAAAATTTTCAAAACTATATGGATCGACTCAGTTTTTTATGCTGATTTAAAATATGCCGTTTTCATCTATCAAAAGCCGAATTATTTTTATCAAATTTACTCAATAATGAGAAGAAAAGTGTACTTTTCATGCTCCGGAACAATCCATGAACACTTTCGATATAGTGGCCCATGTTAAAATAAAATCAATTATGTATCATTTTGTAGCTCTTTCTTTGCTCTATCGATTGGTATATAAAAGAGCTTGGCTTACACCTAAAAATATATCAAACAGTTCTAATTATTGTTCGGATGTGAAGTACTGAATAATATTCCTGTGAAAGGATAGTATTTTCCATGAGTAAATTTTTAATGAAAGAATATTAGTTTTTATATGAAACGATGCAGTATTAAACGCTCTTTCCAACCAATATGGATTGAGCTTGAAACATTGCCTAAAAGTCGTATATTTTGAGCTAATACTAGACAACTATGAGCCCAATGAAACTTCAAAACTTTTTTGCAGGTATTCTCCCTCAAAATGGCTTATTATCGTCACAGCTTGACTTGAAATTATTACCAAAAGAATCACCACATGTTTTCACCTAGGATTGGCATTAACTTGACTGACAATATCATATGGGCCAAATCGGCTTCTTATGCGCCCATGTCCTTTCATTTTTCAGAATATCTATAGTTTATTGCAAAATGAATTGATTTTGACGAACTTGTTGCCTAAAGCTTGCATCCTACTATCAAATTTTTGGAGAAATTTTCACATGCTTTTTACAGGTTGGAATGTGAGTGTTTTGAGGGTAGCTGTAAGCACGAATATGGATGTTTTCATTTTTTCGAACTACACGTATCCACACCTACAGCAACTTCACTCAAATCCAGAGCTACGCACACATCCACGTCCACACGCATACACCCACAACCATATACTCACCGATCCACGTCTGCCTTTCTAAACACGCATTTTATCATGATAAACTTCGAAAGGAGAAAAATGATTAATTAGAATGTTTTTTCCGATTGAAAATGATTAAAAAAACTAAAAACCTAGCCATGGATCACTTTTGATGGACAAAATTGAGTGTGTACAGCTAGCAATAAGCCACTATTACGTATCTCCTCTACTACTTCAAACATATGCCTACATAAACAAAAATAACTAGTTAGGGAACCGCATTTATGACAAATCGAGTTACTGACACCTTATGTAATTTAATTCCTAAATGTTTCAGATAAGCACTTTAGAATGTCACATAACCAATGAATGCAAAATCAGAGAAAAGTATCGGATTACAACTTCAATGACGCTAAGAGAGGAAAATTATAGTCAGAAGAGGTGTATTAAGTCGTAATTATCTTGAATTAATGTCCGCTGGAAGTACCAAAGTATTTGAAACTGGGATCTTCAAATGTTTGATGAAATATANAATCGAAATCCATCGACCAAGGATGTGTATAATATGAGTATTGGGACAGTCATTGATACAACTATCGTACATCCATATCAAAATAACTTTTATCTTAACTCTGATAATGAATTCCAAGGTGTTAATCATCCATCACTTTATCATGTATTATTGGATGAAATAGGTTTTACTGCAGATGAATTACCATTATTAACGTATCATTTATGTTTTACGGATCCTCGATCATCAGCAGCTGAAGCTATTCCATCGGTCGTACACCAAGCCGATATAGCAGCATTGAAAGCACGAGATTTATTTTATGACGATGAACGGTAAGATAAGAAAAAAAAACATTTGTTTCTTAATGTAAATCGTTTTCCTTCGTTTTTTTTGTAGTTCATCAGCAACAAGTGTTGGTGGACGAAGTCAACCATTGCGCGATCCACAACTAAGTGATTTAGATTTTAAAATTCTTGAGGTACATGAAAATCTTAAAAATCGACCCGTATTTGGCTAAGACGGTCTTCTCCAACTTGATATATCAATTGGAATGTGAGAATTCACATTGCTAAAGGACTCATCCGTAGTATTCGTCTTCGAATACATTATCATTTATTCATTTTTATGCTTCACTTATATATTTTTTTCTCTATCATAATCAAGAATTGTACTCAGAACTTTTTCACTTATTCTATTCTTTATCAAAATAAATTTTCACTATAATGCAGTGAACATTTTCCTTTTTATTCACTATGTATGTTGAACATTATCCGATGAGTACACGCATTTGATTACGGAAAATATTTTAGAGAGCAATCATTTCCGAGGAAAGGATCCTATTGGTATATATTTTTCTTTCTATTGAACACAGAAACAAAACTCCAGAGAGAAACATATCGCAAGATCATGTGAAATGAGTTTAACTTTAATGGGACATTACTGAAGAGCTTCGTTCTGTTTTCTTTTGTTTTTCATCAACTGAGTATTCCGTTTTTCTACAAGTTGAATCATCAAACTCATGAATACTAGTGACATTGACAAAAAAAGATTAATATTATTTCTATCAAATATGTTCCAGAAAATACTTTCTTTACACAATGACAATTGAATTTATAGATAAGAAAAAAGATAATGATACCTAAAAACAAATTTTTCATTTGATTGGTCAATATTCTAACTTTCAATCTTGGGGCTGTGGATATCGGTGTGGGTGTTGGTTTGATTGTTAGTCTCGTTATAGGAATGAGCATCATGGGTAGAGTCACACTCAGAACTCGGCACTCTCAGACACATATAAACATCAACACTTAAACCCACACCCATCCTCTTATTATACACTTGGATTAAAACTACTCATTATTTAAACGAAAGAATTAAGAAAGAATATGAAATAATAACTTTAAGACAAAATGAGTAATTTAATTAAAATGAATGTTTCATGCTATCAAAATTCTTTAGATAAAAAACTAGTCTACAATATTTCACATCGTTATTTGAATGATACCGAAGAGAAATTATTAGCTAATGGTTGGAAATTTTCTTTAAATACAAAAAAGTTAATTCATTTAAGCATCAAAAGTGAATTAGAACATATTTACTTCATTTTGGATAAAAGAAAAATGCTAACATCTAATGATAAAAAGTCAAGGATAAAAAGCTTACTCAGTTATTTTCCTAGTAAATTAAATAAACAATTAAAAAGTGATGTACTTAATCTATCACCTGAAGAAAAGAAAGTCATATCTAATTTGTTACATGATAAATCAATAATAATTTCTAAAGCAGATAAAGGAAACACGGTTGAGATACTAGACAAACAGGATTACATTAATAAAGGAAATGAACTATTAAATGATAAGAAATGTTTTGAGAAGATCTCATCTAATTTAACTGAACAACGTGAACAATCACTTTTTAAGTTTCTTCTTAAATTAAAAAATAATAAAATTATTAATGAAAAAGTTTATCATGAAATGCGACCTAATACATGTTCTAGAACACTAGAAGCTTATTTCTTAGTTAAAGTACATAAAATAAACCAACCTGTAAGACCAATAATATATAGTAACAATTCATATAATTATAACACAGTCAAATATTTAGCTAAATTATTAACA